AATTGCTTTTTTTTTGTTTAACTGTATTAGTCTCTTAAATCATGTAGAAAACAAAAAGTACAGTTACAAACCATGGTTACAATAATACTAGCTTTTATAATTGCCTGTGTATTTACCTGTATTGAGATATTTATTTCTGCATATGGCTTTTAGTTACCGTCTAGTGTCCTTTCGTTTCACCCTGCAGGACTCCCCTGAGCATTTCCTGCACGGCAGGTCTAGTGGTCCCAAACTCCCCTCACCTTTTGTTTATCTGGGAATGTCTTAACGTCTCCCGCACTCTTGAAGGACGGTTTTGCTGGATATAGGGTTCTTGGTTGATAGGTTTTTCTTTTAGCACTTTGAATATGTCAGCCCACTGTCTGCTGGCCTCCGAAGCTTCTGATGAGAAATCTGCAGATTATCGTACTGAGGATCCCTTGTAGCAACTCGCTTCTCTCAAGATTCTTTCTTTGGCTTTTGAAAATTTATGTGTCTCGGTGCGATCTCTTGAGTGCATCTTAGTAGGATTTTGTTGAGCTTCTTGGATGTTTATATTCATGTATTTCATCAAATTTGGGAAGTTTTCAGTCATTATTTCTTCCAAAATTGTTTCTATCCCTTTCTCTTCTCTTTCTAGGAACCCCACAGTGGCCAGTGTTGGTCTGCTGAGTGGTTTCCCACAGGTCCCTTAGGCTCTGTTCGCTTTTTTTAACCTTTTTTTTTCTCTGTTCCTCAGACTCAATAATTTCCATTGATGTCTTCAAGTTCACTGATTCTTTCTCCTGCCTACTGCAATCTGTCCTGAATCCTTGTGGTGAATTTTTAATTTCACTTATTGTACTTTTCAGCTTCAGAATTTCTTTTGGTTTCTTTTTAGGTTTTCTGTCTCTTTATTGATATTTTCATTTGTTCACACAGTGTTTTCTTGACTTTCTCCACGTTTTCCTTTTGTTGTTTGAGCATCTTTACGACAGTTCTTTTAAAGTCTTTGTCTAGTGTATCTGCCGTTAGGTCTTTCTCAGGAGCAGTTTCTGTTGATTTGTTGTTTTCCTTTGAATGGGCCATACTTTCCTCTTCTTTGTGTGCCTTCTGAGTTTCTGTTGAATGCTGGACATTTGAATCTCATAATGTGGTAACTCTGGAAATCAGATTCTTCCCTTTCCCCAGAGTTTGGTTTTTTGGGGGGGTTGTTACCCTTTTTATTTTTTTTATTGTTGCAGTCTGTCTCTGTGCCTAGGATCAGCCTGAGGTATAAACTTGAGGTCTTTTTTGAGCCTTTCCCTGGGAATGCACAGTCACTTTCTAATTTTCCCCATATATGTTGATGTTTTTGGATGTCCTAGTCTTAAATATCTGGCTCCCAAAAGGGGATAAAGCGAAAAATGAAGTCAGGGGAAGGGCAGCCTTTTAAATCCCCTGGGAGTCACTTCAGCCTGAGGGGTGGGGCTTGCAACAGTGGGGGGAGATGCAACAGCAATGGCTGCCTGATTGTCTCCATCTCTTTGATCAGAAGCAGTAATCAGCAGTCAGAGCAGAGATCCCCAGTACCTGGAGGACAGGGTTTCCTTTTGCCCACACTAGCTCCCACCAGGTGTCTGCAAGCTGCTCCAGGATGCTGTCCACAGCTGCCTGCCACTTTGCTGGGAATGGGAGATGGGTAACTGCTACTGTGTAAGAGCTAAAATTGACCAAAATTAACTGCAATTTGCCGTCCTAGTCTTCCCCTGGAAGATGCAAGCTTTCAAGTGTGCCAGAGTTCCAGAATAGTTACATCAGACCCATCTGCCAGTGCAATTGTTATCCAGGTGGGGAGAGAGATTCCTAGTGCTCCCTACTTCACCATCTTCCCAGAATCCCAAAATTTGCATTTCTAACACGTTCCCCAGTGATGCTGATGCCGCTGGTCCAAGGATTATACTTTGAGAACCACTGAACTCAACTCTTTCAGCTCCTTTCTTTAAGGCCCTATTACACCATGCAGGGTCTTTCTCCTGTGGATGCAACATAGTAAACTAATTGTGCTTTTTAATTGAAAGAAGCAAGCATCATTTTATTGATATAATCACCTGATGGGGGATGAGTTTCTTTCTCAAAAAAGATGGGACCTGTGGTCTGTGGGCTGGTTCAGGGCAGGGAGCTTTGGGAAGCCCTGCAGGGGACAGAGGCACGTGTTGTGGTAGGAAGGCAGCGGACATTGTTCAGACCCGAGCTTGATCGCTTCTCTTTCCCATCTGCAAGCACGCATGATGACAGGGCTGCTCTGCAGCTTCCTCTGCTGAGGTGGTCTGTGGAGAGCGTCTAGTGTGTGTCTGGCACATGATCATCTTGGGTCGCCTTTACTGAGCGTTTTGTATCCAGCCACTGTTCTAAGCCTGGATTGACACATTGAACCCTCACAGCATCTCTGAGGGGCATGGTAGCATTAGGTCCCTGTTTGCAGGTTGAGGAAACAGGTGGGAGGAAACAGAGGTGAGGAATTTGGCGAAGAACACATATAGGAAGTGGTGGAGTCACTTACCAGGGAACTCTAGGTTCCAGAGCCCACACACTTAACCTTATACGGCAGTGCCTCAAATGCTAGGGCCCTTCCTGCATCAATTAGGATATTTTGACTGCAAGTTACGAAACTAAGCTAAAAAGAGTTTTTTTTTCTTTAAAAAGGTCTCCTCCCCCAACAAGTCTGGCGATGGGGTGGTCTTGGGGTTGGTTAATTTAGTGCTCAACAGTGTCACAAGGATCCCAGTTCGCTTTATCCTGTCACTCTGCCGTCCTCAACAGGTTGGGCTTTGTCTTCAGAACTGTCTTCTCCTGGTGACAAGATGGTTGCAACAGATGCCATCCTCACAGAGGCTGAGTGAGAGAATGACCTATTCCTGCCTCTTGTCCCTCTTTAAGGGAGGTGAAACTTGTCCAGGAGCTCCTTTTCCTGTAGACTTTCCTACTAGAAATGCTTGGCACACCCGTTCTCAATTGGGATTCACCCCCCAGGGTGGAGAGGGCCTGGAGCACAAGCCCTCTGGATAGCTGACTACTGGGGGCTCTTTAGTAAGAAGTGGTATAGCAGGAATGGCTGCAGGTAGGCCCCTGACAGATCAGCCTCCTTTCATCCCCTCTGGTTAATGTTGAAACCTTTGTTCGGAAGGTGCTCTGTGGCACTGACAGAAGTAGATAAAGTTTAGGGCTGCCCGAAGTGCTGCCACTGTCCTTGGTTTACTCTAGGCCAGGTGATCTTTTATTTCTTGGCAAGAGTGTGAGGGCACATGGTAAACATTTCTGAGAGGAAGGCAAAGCTCTTGAAGGACTTGTCTTACAGCCTTGTTCTTGCCCCACATGTCCCTGCAGGAAGCTGGGGTGGTGGTCAGCTGGGTCAGCTCTGACCTGGAGCTCTGGCTTCCCCTTCTGGTGCTTCAGGCACCTCGTCTGTAGAGCAGGGGACGTTACAGGGCAGTATAAGGACTGGATGAGATATTCCACGTCAGTTGCATACAGTGACACCTGACGCATGGTGAGCTGCACTGTTCCCAGCATTATTGTGGTTTTACCCTCAGTATTGGCATAAGGGGGGCTTGATCTAGCTCCTTGTCATCTGCTCCTGCCTCAGTGGCCTGGAGGTATCCATTCCATAGCACCATCCAGGTGAGCTTCACTTCCACTCCTGCTGAGGCGTTCCTGACTGCTGGAGGCCTGTGAGCCACACTGACCCCCGAGAGGCTGCATCCGGGGCCTGCCTCTGTGTGGGAAGAGAGAGAGAAGGGCACCCTTTAGTCACTTTGTCCCAGGAAGGGTGCAGATGTGTGGCGGGGGCGGGGTGGGGGGGTGCCGTTCTACACAAATGTAACTGCTTAGGAAGCACTTTTACTTTCTTTTTCCTAGAATCAGGAGCAAGGGTCTGTACCCGCCAGGTAGCCTTACCTGGGTGTGCCTCGGCCACCAGAAGAGTCTGCATCCTTCCTCAGTAGGGCAATTGTGGTTGAATTTTACAACCGGTAGGCTGTAAGAGCACTGTGGAAAGCGAGTTCTTTCTCAGTTTGCCAAACAGCTGGAAGCAAGATGCTTTGTGGCCTGTCTCCCCTTGAGGAAACAAGGCAGGACTTTGTGCCTTGCACCTCTACAGCAATGTAGGACATGGCAGAGCTGAAGTTCTACTTAAGCGAGATCAGGTCTGGAAAGAAACTGCGTTTCACAGGCCTTTGTAACAGATGTTCCAGGTAGGCCTAAGAGCACTGTGGAAAGCGAGTTATTATCAATTATTAAGCTTATTGTTGATAAGACACATTTCTTATGCTGACAGTATTGAGCACGCACAGCAGCCATGTCATAGGGTGACAGAGATGTGCCCCACTTTAAGAACACCTGACCGTATAAGGAGGAGCATCTCAATTACAGAATAGTGTCTCACTTAGCCAGAAACTCATGGCAGGTTTCCTAGTGCATTTAAAATAGGATTTGTGTATAAAAATACCATTTGCACACAGGAGCCCATATTTTCTGAAAAGAGAAATATACTTGTATTGGACATTTGGGATAAGCAGAATAAAAATAAAATCTTACAAATATAAGAGCTGAAACCAAATTCCACTTTTAATTCTAAAAGGTTTATATATAACTTTACTATCTTACCCTCTCCCCGTCCGCCAGACTGCCACAGCAGAATAAACAGGCAAGAGCTATAGGCAGTTGAAGACAGCGGTGAGGAGTGAGGAGAGCACCGGCGAGCATGCGGGCCTGTGGACAGCGGGAACACCAGAAGCGGGCTGGCTGCCCCCCCCCCCCATCAGTGTTGTTCTGTTTCATTTATTTGTGAACGTTTGTGAGGCCTGGCATAAAACTTGCTGCTGAGTTCCTTCCATGGTGTGGTCACTGAGTGGCAGTTAGAAATTGACCGGCCCATCCTGCCACACAAACTGCTCTAAGCGCAGAGACGTGTGCTGAGGGCTGTCCGATGGGGTCTAGGGAAGGCCTGGAGGAGACAGGTGGATCTGCGATGCTGACATGCCTGACTTCTTCCTCCCTTCCAGAAATGTTCCCACTGCCAGGAGGCAGGCGCCACCTTGGGCTGCTACAACAAAGGCTGCTCCTTCCGCTACCATTACCCGTGTGCCATCGACGCAGGTAAGATGGGACCGCCGACCCCTGTCCAGAGCATCTGGAGGCTAGGACATCCACTTTGGTCCTCTTCCTTCTTCCCCATCTTTCTAGTTCTTTTTGTCTCTTCTGACCCTGTTCTGTTTGTAAATTCTAAAGGAACACAGAGGGGATAATAAAAAGGAGTGAAATGGGGTAATATTTGTAACTAACAGTTTTATTCATATATTTCACACATGATTCACCTATTTAAGTGTACAATTCAATGGTTTTTGGTATATTCACAGCACTGTACAACCGTCATCACAATAAATTTTAGAACATTTTCATTACCTCATAAACCCCTACTTGGTGGTGGTCACTCCCCCCCCACCCTAGCCCCTGGCAGCCACTCATCTACTTTCTGTCTCTATGGACCCACCTATTGGGACGTTTCATGTAAGCTGAATCGTACAGTGGGTGGTCTTTGTGACTGGATTCTTTCACTTAGCATGATGTTTTTTAGGTTTATCAATGTTGCAGCATTTATCTAAAGTTCTTCATTTTTGTTGACAAACAATATTTGTAACAATATTGTAAGGACATACCATATTTTATTTATCGTTCATCAGTTGATGCACATTTAGGTTGTTTCCACGTTTTGATTATTATGAATAATGCTGCTGTGAACTTTGACATGCAAGTGTTTGTGCAGACATAATGTTTTCAGTTCTCTTGGATATAAACCTAGGTGTGGAATTGCTGGGTCAAATGATAACTCTGTGTTTAACCTTTTGAGGAACTGTCCGACTGTTTTCCACAGTGGCCAAACCATTTACATCCGTCCAGCAGAGTATGAGGATTCTAATTTCTCCACATCCTCACCCACACGGGTTATTGTCTATCTTTTTGATTGCAGCCATCCCAGTGGGATGAAGTGGTATCTCATTGTGGTTTGATTTGCATTTCCCTGATGGCTAATGATGTTGAGCACCTTTGATGAAGTCTGCTTTATTTTTTCTTTTATTGCTTGTGCTTTTTTTTTGCTTGTTGCATTTTCGCATGTCTAAGAAACCGTTGCCTAATCCAAAATCACAAAGATTTGTGCCTGTATTTTCTCTAAGAGTTTTATAGTTTTATCCCTTCCACAGGTCTTTGACCCATTTTGAGTTAATTTTTATATGTGGTGTGAAGTAGAAGTCCAGTTCATTCTTTTCCATATGGATTCCAGTTGTCCCAGCACCGTTTGTAGAAAAGATTTTTCTTTCCTCATTCAATGATCTTGGCACCTTTATCAAAAACCAATTGACCATAAATGTGTAGGCTTATTTCTGGACTCTCTCTGGTACCACACTGCCCTGACTACCGCGGCTTTGTAGTAGATTTTAAAATTGGAAAATACGACTCCCCCAATTTTGTTCCTTTTTTCCAAGATTGTTTTGGCTGTTGTAGGTCCTTTGCCGTTCCATATGAATTTTAGCATCAGCTTGTCCATTTCTGCGAGAAACAGCCATTGACACTTTGGTGCGGATTGCACTGAATCTGTAGGTGAAGTTAGGGAGTACGGCCCTCCTAACAACAGTGTGTCTTCCAACCCGTGATCGTGGCATGTCTTTCCATTTAGTTCAGTCTTTGATTTCTTTCAGCAGTGTTTTAGCATTTTCAGAGTCTAAGTTTTGCACTTCTTTTGTTAAATTTATTCCTAAGTATTTTATTATTTTTGATGCAGTTGTAAATAGAATTGTTTTCTTTATTTAATCTTCAGATTCTTCATTGTGAGTGCCTAGAAATACAATTGACTTGGGTATATTGATCTTGTATGCTGTAACTTTGCTCAACTCGTTGATTAGTTCTAATAATTTTTAGTGGATTTCTATGTACAAGATATGTCATGTGCACATAGTTTTACTTCTTCCTTTCCAATCAGATGCCTTTTATTTCTTTTTCTTGCTAATTGCCTGGGCTAGAACTTTCTTTTTTTTGAGGAAGATTAGCCCTGAGCTAACTGCTGCCAATCTTCCTCTTTTTCCTGAGGAAAACTGTCCCTGAGCTAACATCCGTGCCATCTTCCTCTACTTATGTGTGGGACGCCTAACCCAGCAGGGCTTTTGCCAAGCGGTGCCGTGTCTGCACGTGGGATCCGAACCGGCGAACCCTGGGCCACCGAGAAGTGGAACATGCGAACTTAACCGCTGCGCCACTGGGCCGGCCCTAGAACTTCTAGTATAATGTTGGGTAGAAGTGGCAAGAGCTGGCATCCGTGTGTTATTTCCAACCCATTAAATGTGATGATAGCTGTGGGGTTTTCATAGATGTTCTTGATGCAGCTCGGGAAGTTTCCTTCTCTTCCCAGTTTGTTGAGTGTTTTTATCCTGAAGAGGTGTTGCATTTTGTCAAACGTTTTTTCTATGTCTGTTGAGATGATCAGAGCAATGTTTTGTAGTTTGATAACTGTTGAAAGAAGGGAAACCTTTTGTCCAAGAAGTGTCACCGAATGAGTAATGCAGAAGACTCGAGTCCTGACCAGAGCTTCAGCAGCCTGGGCAAACCACAATCCTCTCCCTCTAGACTCTTGACTCCAGTGGCTGTTTTCACCAGTGACTCTTTGAGCACTAGCTGTTCCTAAGACCTTCACCCAGCTGCCCTCGTTAATGCTTGCAGTCAGGAGGGAGGGAGAGAAAAATGGAAAGACAGATGAGAGTGCAGCAGTGGGCATGGTGCTTGTTGTCTCTGGGAGCCTCCTGGGTTCTGAGGGGGAAATGTGACCTTCCGCGGAGGCAGCCACTCCGACTCTGGGAGGCAGGGGTTGATTTGGATTTGGTGAGGAGGAGGCATGGCTGGGACAGCGGCATAAAGCACGGGGAGCGGGATCTGACCGGCGTGGACAGAATCTGAGCTCATCTTGACCACCCTTCCTTCCAGGGCGGTTGTTCAGCACTCCTGGCGTTTGTCCCCCTGCCTTTTACATCCTTCTCTTTGTCCCTCTGTCCCTGCCTCCCTCTTCTTTTCTTTCCCAGTTTATGTAGGAGGAGCAGCTAAAAAGAACAAGAAAGGTACCAAGAGAGAATGCTTATGCCAAAGTTAGATTCCCATGAAAGTGTGTGTCTGCACGCACTGAAGGGCAGCTGGTGGCCAGGGTCCTGTTTGACCAGAGGGATGGTGGGGAGTGAAAAGAGAGCATTGAAGTGTCAGTTCCGGGAGTTGGGGTTGCAGTCTGTCCCTATGTTTTCTTTCTTCCCCTGATGTTTCCGCGTTGGGCCTGAGCAGTGCTTCACCCTGCCTTGTGGTCTCGCGTGTTCTGTGGGGCGCTCGTTAAGTCTCTCGAGAGCCAACCGTTGCCTTTTCTCGTATTCATGATATTGCCCTAGTTACATCAGAATGTGTTGTTTTCTTTTCCTAGTTTGTCTTGTGGCTTTTAAGTGAAGATTTTTAAATATTAAGTTTGGGCTGTTGTCTGTAGGTTTTGTGTGGGGAATACTGTGAGAACTGCCTCTCGCCGTCAGCGGCTGGGTGAGGAGTGGCCTCCTGCACTGAGGCTCTGCTCGGAGCATCAGGCAAGCAGCAGGCAGGGAACCCCGGCACACTCCCTGTCTGTGCGCTGGGGCACCAGCCGGATCAGGGAGCAGGCTAACAGCCGCCTCCTCCGACAGTTTCTCAAGGGTTTGAGCAGTGCCGCTCGCTAGAGCTTCCTGCAAAGATGGGGATGTTCTAGGTCTGCACCCTGCAGTGCAGCAGCCGCAAGCCCTGTCTGACCATTGAGCACCTGAAATGTGGCTAGTAGGGATGAAGGACTGAATTTCTTCCTTTATTTTATTTAAACTTAGATTTACATAGCCGTGTGTGGCCAGCAGCGGGTCAGGCTCGGGCAGTAGGTTTGGGGTTCCTTGGGGAGGGCACAGGGCTTTTCCTCCTCTCTGATGGGGGCTTGCTGGTTCCGCCACCCCGCCCCGCCAGCAGGGAAGCAGGGGCTGCTTCATCCACTGAGGGTTAGTAAGAGAACGGTGTCGTCACTCTCTCTGTTTGAGCCTGTCTTGCGTGGCCTGCCCAGGGAAGTTGGTAACCTCTCTGTTGGGCAGAAGTTGGTGGCTGAGTACGCAGTGAGAGGGAGGCTTCCTGGTTCAGGGGGGCCAGGGTGGGGCCTTGGCCCTTGGCTTAGCTGCCGCATACTCTGCTCATCCTTGTGGAGAGCTGGGACCAAAGCAGCAGCTTCACAAGATGACTGTATCTTGGGCATTTGTCCGTCTTCTCGATGACCCAAGTCGCACTGACCCAGAGGCCTGCACCTCCGTGTGGGGATGGATGCATGTATTTATCCCACTCGGGCTTCTCAGGGATTCTGTTCTGTATGTGATGAATCTCTGTAGCCAGGAAAGGTGTTCATTGATTGACTTTCTTTCTAATTATAATAAAAATAAATCTCTGTGTTTAAGGGTCCCTCGTCTCTGTATAGAGTAAGGAACAATTTTAACATTTCCATCTCTGCCTTGCTGTCAACTGCCCAAACCTTTAGAGAGCTGTTGATGTCTAAGGGAAAACTTTTATTACGGGACACATCTCCATGGAAGCAGAATCTTTGTTTTATGAGTATTTGTGGCTCCTGCAGGCTTTTGCCCTACCTGATGCTGCCCCTACATTTGTGACATCATGGTTGGCTGTTTTGTGCTGCTTGGTATGTCACAGGCACACAGGATTTGCTCCAGGTGGGAAATGCAGTAATAAGAACATGAGCGCTGGTTTAAAAAAAAAAAGATTTAATGTATTTAATGCAACAAGCCACAACAATTAAGACCGAAGGAAAAAAGAGCTGTGGTAGCTCGTTAATAATTCCACTGTGCATAAAGGATCTTGCCTAGAGGGGATTTTTCTTTTACCCTCATGAAGAAACACAGCTGGGAATTTCACTTTCCACAGCCACTCCTGCAGCAGCGTTTTAAAGCTGCTCTCTCTCTTTGCAGACGTTGATCTTGCAGTAGTGGGTTTGGAGCCCTGCAAGGGTCATTATGAAACAACTGTTGGTCTGGCCTCTGCCTGGAGAGGCAGCCCTCGGCATCACAGAAACCAGTTCCAGGGCCTCACTCCTGTCCCATTACTCCCCTCCTTTGGCCCCAGGATCCTGAGGCTGCCCCTCAGCGAGGCGGGCTGAGGCTGGTGGGTCCCTGTGTCCCAGCCTGGATTTTGCACTCTAAGTCCTAGCTGTGGCTCTCAGGGAGATTGTAGGTGACCTGAAGACAGTGTCTGGGGCCTGGTAGATCTACAGGACATTACACCTACCTTCTCCTTTTCTGCCTCCTTGAGCTCACCATCCTCTCAAGTTGGGGTATATATGAAGGTGTTATGGGTATCTGAAGCTCCAAGCTTGTTATGAAGAACTCAGCAAAGCCCGCTCTGCCTTTAAGCTTAAAGAGAGAAATGAAAGTGGAATCCTCTTCTGGTTTGGATATTTGTGTCTGGAAGCCATCTTATTGACTAGACAACCTTGCGAGTCTTTTCCACCTTATGTGATGATCCAGCAGGCCATTTACTTTGACTTCACATGTGGAAGTGCTGAGCGGGCCCTCTGGACAGTGTAGGATATTGCCAGGGCCTGAAAGAAAACCATTTGAGAGACTGGCTAGCTGGCTGTGTGGGGCCAGCCACTGCGCCTGGCCGGAGACCCTAGAGAGGTTCTACTGTACTTCTTACCGCTCTCCGCTCTTCCCAGCCGGGACTGGTTCGAGGCAGCCAGAAGAGGCTCCCCGTGCCCTTCCGGGTGTCTAAGCTCTTTAGCTGCGGTTCTCGCCCCTGCCTGGAACGTGAATTGCAGTTCCTGATGGCCCGTGGATATTACAAGAACAGATGAGAGCATTTGTCTGCAGTGTTCCTGCATAGGAGGTCTTGCCAAAGGTGGACACTGTCTCTGGCAGATTTGTTAGGAGACTTCCGTTTCCAGAAGTACTTGGCATTAGTTCCAAGTTGCCTTAGAGTGTCCTTACATTGTTTTATTTCTTTTCTGCTTTTTAACTTAGAGGGAACATGTTTCCTAACTTTAGACTTTTTTTTTTTTTTTGAGGAAGATTAGCCCTGAGCTAACTACTGCCAATCATTCTCTTTTTGCTGAGGAAGACTGGCCCTGAGCTAACATCCATGCCCATCTTCCTCTACTTTATATGTGGGATGCCTACCACAGCATGGCTTTTGCCAAGTGGTGCCATGTCCACATCCGGGATCTGAACCAGTAAACCCCGGGCCGCCGAGAAGCGTAACGTGCACAGTTATCCGCTGCGCCACCGGGCCGGCCCCTAGACAAGTTTTACTGATGGTGCATCACTGCTGGTCACTGTTCTGTGGCTGTGAGGGGACTGAGCTACCTCTGCCTTTCTGATGGCACTGTTTCTAACTAACGTGGTCCCCCTCCTCATTTATGTAAACCCCTTGGCCTGGGCTGGCTGAGCCCCATGTGGGCTGTCCTATTTCTCTTTGGCCCACATCAGAGACTCTGCTGGCAGGCAGTGCTGCCAAAGCCCAGGTAAGGAGAAGGAGCTTCCCGGGAGCTCCAGTCGTCTGTCTCCTGCTGTTCATAAGCTCTCTGGCAGATTGGAGCAGCAGGAGCCTTGGTCACGCCATGTACTCGTGGGTTTTAAATTAACACATTTCATTTACTGCCATGCTATTTGCTTGCGGGGGTGGGGGGGGGCCGCCGAGGTTAGCAGGACTTTCTGAATCCCTGTGCCCTGAGGCTTCCCTGGCGCACAGAGGGCTGCCGCACGCTCAGATATTCAGGGGCTCCAGAGGGGGGCAGTGACGCACAGGCTCGGGCACATCGTGCAAGGGCCTCTTTTGATTTGTTTAGGATGCAGAGGACCTCCAAAGTTCCATTTGTGTGTTCCCTTGCTTATTACTATTTCACATGAAACCTGTGGGTACACAGGCTGCTACTTGGGACCTCAGTTTAAACCTGAGTTAAATTGTAAATTGAACGAGGCTAAGTGCCACGGCTGCCTCTCGCCGTGGTGCCTGGGAGCTCTCTGAGAATGTGTGATCAATATTTATTAACATTCTGCCACCGCATCTTGCACCAGTGACCTGGCTGTCGGTCTCCAAGAGCTGCGATGTGCAGAGTGAACTCATTAATTACATTTCCTCACCCGGCTCCGTGCACGGCCATCGTGCATAGAGGCAGATTCACCTCCCTTCTGTCATCAAGGACGCTGTCACCATGTGAAAAGTTGGGATGAATCATTTTCCTCCAAGGATTAAAAGCCCCCTTGTGGGATTTCACTTTCCTCTGAAGCATTTAGCGTGGATTATGTAGCTCGTGTCAGGAGCTTCTCCTGTGTCTCCATGGCTTGTGGGGCAAAGGTGACAGTGGAGCTCTTGGGCCTGACCTCCTTTCTGTCTCAGACACGTGGCTCTTGACAGAGGAGAAGAGGTGCCTCCAGATTTAAAGTGTGTTCATGAGGAAGCTTTAGCTTGGGCATGTGGAATGAGCCTAGCCTAGAATCAAGGATTTTAAAGATAACATTATTGGAGATTGTTTTTGATTATTGAAATAAATAATATGGTATCATCATGAAAATACAGAAAAAAATAAAGAAAATTAAAATCACCTGTAATCTTACTACCCAAAGAGAACCATTGTTATATTTTGGTAGATTTCCTTTGTCGTTTTTTAATTTTTATTTATTTTTATGTATTTATTTTTGCTTGAGGAAGATTTGCCCTGAGCTAGCATCTGTGCCAGTCTTCCTCTTGTATGTGGGTCACCCCCACAGCACAGCTGCCAACGCATGGTATAGGTCTGCACCCAGGAACTGAACCTGGGCCACCAAAGTGGAGTGTACCAAACTTAACCACTTGGCCACTAGCCTTGTTTTTTAATTCATATAAAACATTTTGATAAAATTAGGATTGTACTTGTACATTTGTGTATCTGGATTTTTCAGGCAATTTTGCTTCATGGGTGTTTCCCCAGACCGTTAACTATTTCAGAATGTTAATTTTTTAAGTGACTCATAGTCTGTCATGTTGAGGTAACATAGTTTATTTGAGGGTGTCTCTGATGTTTTCGTATTAGAAATCGTAGTGTGCGTGCCTCTCATCTCCATGTCTGACCCTGTCCTGGCCAGTGCGGCCCTGCTCACCTCGGGCTGTGCCACACGCTGGCCCCACCTCACTGTCCCCTTCTGTCTTGCAGATTGTTTGCTGCATGAGGAGAACTTCTCGGTGAGGTGCCCCAAGCACAAGGTGAGTCAGAGCGCACAGAGCCTGTGCTCCTAGCAGGGCTGGGCGAGGGTCCCTGGGGCTCCTGAGAGACCTGAAGACCAGACATTTGAGGTCTGCGCCCTCGCGGTGGCCTCAGGCTGCTGCCTGGTCCTGGGAGGGTGCAGACGCGCCGCGGTGTTGGAGGAGGACCCGGCATGGGGGCGGGCACTCCATGTGGTATAGGGGCGCTGGGAGAAATGTGTCGGAGAGAAGGTGTTTGTTCACTACGAGAAATTAAAAGATCAAGCTCAATAAAACTACTGATTTCCACATTAGTTTACTGGAACCTCAGTTCACAGATTGGTTGCAGGCCTTGATACATAAGCAAAGGCATTTTCCTACTGAAAGAAACAGAGTTGACCCAAGGTTGAGGGAAACTCACAGTCTCTTCTGGGTTTTACTTTAGCAGAAACGACCAGTGGCGTACAGAAGATGGGCTCCCGCCGCCTCACTTCCCAGTAGATTCTAGAGGTGGTCTCTTGGTCACCTCTCTTAGGAAAGGGTGGGAGATGCGGGGATGGCTGGTCTGTCTCTGAGATGCCCCTGTGCGTGGAGGGGAGGATCTGGAGACGGAGTCCCAGGAAGGATCGGGGTGGTAGAGACAGTCGCCGCCTGGAATTGCCTGCAGTGGCTGCTCTCTCCTCTGGCTGAGGTCACACTGACACCTGGTGGTCACTGGCCGCTCACAGTCTTCAACCTCCAGTTAGGGCCAGAAAGTACTAGAAGGATGTCGTTCTGACAGGTCTGCCTTCAAAACGCTTCTGAAATGCTTACTTGTGCTTTTCTTTAAAAATTATTTCCAGAGATGGATCTTAAGATCTTATAGTATTCTCTTTATTTTTTACTTAATTTACATGTTTTTATTTTTAAAACTTCCCTTTTTAATGGTCACGTTTTGCCTCAGAAATCCTGTCTGAATATCTCCTGTTTGTCATTCAGTACTGACTCTGCTTTTTCTTTCCTTTTCCATGTGCCATTCCTCTCCTCACCTCTGCCCTCCCTGACCCTCACTCCTTCTCTCCCTCCTGTCTTGCCTCCTTGGCTTTGCTGGCGTCAGCCTCCCCTCCCATGCCCTCTCCCCCCCTTGCAGAACAAGACAGCGAAAGGCAGCCTCAGCACAGAACAGTCGGAGCGGGGGTGAGGGGGCAGTGTGCTCGTGGGAATGGAAAGGACAGCAAGCACAGGTGAGTCGGGGCCGCCACCCTGCCAGGCTCCGAGGGGCGGCATGGCCTCTGCCCTCCCGCTCACCCCAGGCCAGCTGCACCACCAGCATTTAATCGTGTGGACTACCAACACCAGGTGGATAAAATGTTTTTCTGTTTGTTGCTTAGCTTCCAGAATATCTGTAGAAAGGTAGTGTGGGGCCTTAAAACTATCCCGTTGCCCACTGGGGTGCAAGGTGACTGTTCCACAGTCATGCCGTGTGCGTGGTGTTGCTGAAGGCAGAATGCAGCTGGCTTCCCAACGGACCCTCTGGGGCAGGGGCACTTCTGCCCGCAGCCCTCCCTCTTTCCCCATCTCAGAAAGGCTTCTGGCCAGAGGTCTCTTCTTTTTAATTTACTCCATATCTGTAAAGCTTATGGTGAGTTTTCCTTTGAAAAACAAAAAGTTCCCCAAGTTTTGTTATTTGAAATCTTTTTTTCCCCCAGTACTGTGAAGGATTCCTTTTCTCAGAAGTACAAAGGGAAGGAAAATCCCCTCAAAGATTTAGTAGACTTTAGCATCCGATTTAATTTTACTCTTAAAAATCTCCAGAGATTGAGTTGTGCTTTTGTGAGTGTGTCTGTGGCCTCGTGATCAGGGCTGGCGGCATGTGTCTATGAAAGCAGGATTATAGGACTTAGGTCTCCACTGCTCCCTGCTGGCCTCTCCACTCTCCCTGCCCACCCTGAGCCACTGAGGGATGAGGACAATGAATGGTAAAGAGGAGAAAAAGAAAACCAACACGTGACTTGGGGCACTTGCTCCTCCAGCGTGGGTGGGAGACCAGTTGTCTCAGAAATGCTCGTGAAGGGATTATTTCTCCTTAAATGAAGGGCTTCCGTGTGTACTCCAGGTGTCTGCCACCCCCACACAGGTGTGCTAGACGTGGCCCTTTCAGGCAGCACCATATCCCAGTTGAGTCTCTGGAATGTTCCCTTCCCCCTTCTTACAACCAGGGGGTTTCCACCTTTCTCTGGAATACCTAACAGTAATTTGAGGAAAACATAGAATTCATCTCAGAATGTGGCAGTGTTTCTCCTATGAGAAGTCATTTGTTTCTTAGGTGGATCCTGGTACTGACTTCAGAGGATGACCATCTGCTCCACCATGTGACAAGTCTGGGGGGCCTCTGGGGGCTTACATGTTTTCCTGAGGGGGCTGTCAAGTGAGGACTTCACAGTCCTGCTTTTCCCTCTGGCCCTTCCAGGGAGTGAGGTTGGGAGTGGAAGGAGCAGAGCAGGACAGGCGCTGGGCCACAGGAGCCACGTGAGCAAATGCAGCCCTGTGGACTTCAGCAACAGTGGTCTTTGGATTTCTGGAACCCACTGGGGTCCCCTGACTCCTGCACCCCTTTCCTGCTGAGCAGCCGTCAGAGAGAGACAGCCTTTTGAGTGGCTTTTCAAGAACGTTTCTGATGGCCCTTCTGCATGTCCTTGGGCTTGACTGTGTCCCTGTGCCTGGGCCAGCTCTGCCACCTTGCTGTTGATTCCTCTGCCTGGCCCAGGCGGTTGGCCTTGCTCTGTAGGGACCACAGTGAAACTCCTCGAAGTGTCCTGAGAGACCTGGTTAAGGAAAGAAGTGTTTGTTGTTCAGTGTCTTTTGGTTTTGTCCTGGAGTTCCAGCTTGTGACTGAGAAACAGGAAGTCTGGGCCCTGAGCCTGGTGGGCACATCTCCTCTCGGAAGCTTCAGTTGCGTTCATCATATCCTCTCCTCTCTACCCATTCCTGGGCCTGCAGCTGACAGAGCTCAGCTCTTGAGTGGAGCGATAAGCTTCGTTAGTCGTTCCTCGGAACGTTGGCTTACTGCTCCTGTTTATACAAATGGAACCGAAGCCCCGAGTGAGTAAGTCATACAGGGTAGTTTCAAGTCTGTTAAGGTCGGACCATTCACCTCTCGGCAGGTAAGGATGGACACACTCCATCCAGTCTTAGCCACCTGAAACGTTTTTCTTCACATGCTGTCCGCGTGAGGCTGACCCTCGACCTGGTTTCTCAGTTCAGCAGTCTTGTGGAGGGCGGTCGCCATCCTTGAGGCACAGGGGCCCTGCCAGCCCTCTGCACGTTGTGCAGAGCCCCAGTGATCAGGGACAGGCACAGCCCCTACCCTAAAGGGGCATGAAATTCATCTCAGGTCCATGCTGGGGACAGAGAGCCACCGTCACTGGGTATCCCCACAAGGCGGGGAAGGGACCGAATGTACACGTGAGTCCTGCTTCCTCGTGCCCCACTATCTCACACAGAGTGGTGTGGAAAGTGCTGTGTGACCAGGGTCAGGCCACTTAATGTCTCTGTTCTTCAATTTCTTCTTCTGTAAAAAGGAATAACAACAGCCAACCTTGTGAGGATGCCTTTAAGAGATGTCGCTAACACACCCAGTACAGCCTGGCATGGGGCGAGGCGGCCAGTGTTGGGCTGCGCCTCTCACAGCTTGCTGGTCTGCCGTGCACAGCGGGAGTGGAGGGGTCAAGGCTGCAGCCTGGACCCTGCAACTGCCCTGTCCAGCAGCAAATCCCAGGCTGGGGGCTAGGAGGTAACGAGTTCTGACCCCTGCCGCCCTCCCCGCAGCATGTGACTTACCTGGCATTTGTCCCTCACCAGGCCAGCAATGCCAGAGAGGAGAGGTCCTTGACGAGGAAGCAGTGTGGCAGGCCTGTGGTTGCTGCCTGCTCTCTCCTTGTGTTGCTGTCATCTCACTGGCTCCGTATGGCTGGTGGGCAGGGCTCTGACAGCAGAACCCTGTCTTCCGTTCTTGTCCTGTAGTAAACCAGGAGGCCCCGCTCCCCCGCCAGGCCCCCTGACCCAGTGAGCGGGAGCAGTAACCTCCCTCTGGCTGCTGCTGTGTCCTGGGGGCAGGAGGATGCCCCCTGTACACAGCAGCCTACTTGCCCTGGAGCTGGGCCTCCCCGAGTAGCTTCTGTGGATGGAATGTCACGTGGGAGCCATCACACAGCCCGCCTGTGTATGAACAGGTGTCGTGTCCTGCAGGCTGGGGCAGGGGAAGGCCTGGGCTTACACCTCTGGAGCAGAACTAGACTCTGTCCCCTTCCCTGCACCCCCTCCTCAGCACAGGCCAGTGCGGCTGCCACAGCCGCCTCCTCGGTGCCTCCGCGCACTGCTGCTCTGCTCGGACCCCTGCTTCTCAGTAGCCAAGCACGGTCCTCAGCAAAGCTCCCTCCAGTCCTCTCTCCTCTACTTCAGAGGTTCTCATCTCATTTAGAGTCAAGGCCGGACTCCTCACCATGCCTCCGAAGGCCTGTGGAAGTCTCTGGCGAGGCTCTCCAGGCTCCCCGCCTCCTTCAGCTCCTCGGAGCTGGGGCTTCCTCCCTCTGGGCTCTCACGCTGGCGGCGCCCGGGGCCCAGAGCACTCTGTCTCTCCATCTTCATGTGACAGGCTCCATCTCATCTCTGGGTCTCAGCTTCAATGTCATTTCCTTGGGGGGCCTTTCCTTCTGAGTCACTGTCTATCCTGCCCCCCGCCCCACTCTGCAGCCTTCCCCAGCATCAGCACAATTTCGAATCATTGGTTTGCTTGTTTTCTGCCTCTCCCCTAGACTGTCTACTCTGTGAGGACGGGAACTGTGTCTGTCTTTGCCCCATTGTGCCGTAGCCCAGAGCAGACACCCAGTGGTGCTGAGGGAGTCTGTGTGAAGGGGGTGCGTGCGCCCCAGAGAGGAAAGTCTTCTCTGACCCTGACTGTGCCCTAGATCGGGACAGATTCAGAACGAGATCCGCTCCCACCGCCTCTCCCAGGAGGAAGCACAGGTGTATTTTGGAGATGAGGACCGTCCCCTGGCCAGGTTGGGTGGGGCTGGGGTGGTGGATTCCTGCTGCGGCTGGAGAAGTCAGGCTTGGTGTGTGCTGTGGAAGGATACAAAGCACAGCCTTGGCCTGGCCCAGGTTCAGGGCACAGAGGTGATGCTGAAGGGGAGTGGGGAGGAGGGTGGGAGCATGACAGAGAAGGAGGGACTGTTGGAAGGCTTTGGCCCAAGATGAAGCCCTGTTCATCAGCAGCTGAGCATCTATATACTTTTTAAAGAGAAGACTGAAAATCCTCAGCACAGAGTGGCTGCTGGTTCACTCAGCTGGCACTGGTGCGGCTGGCATAGCGTCTGCTCCCTGGCTCTCTGCCCGAGGCACTGCCGTGTCCCCTGCAGTTGGACAGGACCACGCAGCAAAGGAGGCTCAAAGCCAAGGTCCCTGGGGCCTGGGCAGAAGAGTTTTGCTGGATGTGAGCCCTGGTCCCACCTCCAACTAGCATGCAGTTTTGGGACACGTGTGTCATTTCCCCAGCTTCAATAACCTAATCTCCAAGATATGGGGGTCACGCCTCTCGGGGTTATTCTGAAATAACATCTCTGAGCTCCTAGCCTAGTGTCTGGCACAAAGTAGGTACTAAAGAATTTTCTTCCTATTCTACCTACTGAAGGAACAAGTTTTTAGAAGTAACTGAGAAGTTAGGTCCCATTGCATTCAGGGTATTGTGTATTGAGGCTAGTCTAATATCAGACCCTGGGGAAGGGTCCTGTTGGGAAGGCTGGAAGGTAGAACCCAAGGTGAGAGGTGCTGACAGGCCTCCCTGGACCACCAGGCACCCCTGTGGCACTGAGGGAGGGGTCTGTGGTCAGCAGGGGGCAGAGCCCACAGGCCAGGCAGACCCCGGGTGCCGAGACGTGCTTCATTCTAGGTGTAGGCCTGCTATTCTGAGTAACGAGCAAGGTGCGGGTGCAGGCCTTGCCAAGCACAGGGTGAAGTAGGGACGGGTGGCACAAACTGCCTCGTCCCCACTCCACGAGCAGAGCCTTGCAGAGTGCACGTGAGCATCAGTCCTCTGTTCACACCGGTGTCCACGTCCCTGGCAGGATTTTGCCCCTCTGGTCATTGATTGGGATGCTCCATTAGCCTTGCCCTTGTCGTGTTTACAAAAGGCCTTTGGTTCCTGGGGTGGCACCGGAGAAGGTGGCTTCTCTGCCCTTTCCTGGCAGCCTTAGCCTCAGGAAAACCGGACTGCAGCAGTGGAGGGTGCCCCGTGCTGCGGGAGGAGGAAGCATGCACCTCAAAGGCTGGGGTGACCCCTGGGGCCCAGAACCACCTTCAGGACTAGGGAAGCCACACTGTTGCCATGGACATCCTGAAAATGGCAGATGGCTCAGCCACTGGCCCATGTCCCCAGGGCCTGGCAGCTGGAGTCCCAGAGTTTGCTTTTACCTGAGCCTGGTGCCATTGTCCTGCTATTTGTGCGAAGTGTCTTCCTGTTTATTCATGTTTTCTGCCAAACAGTTAGGAACCTCTTTTTGGCAAGGGCAGGTATACGTGTGTGTGCTCCTGAACGGAGCGTTTGTAGCTCGTGCACACGGACCAGGCTTCTTAACTATCTTGTGTATTAATAAGTTTTATGGAACCAAAAAAGGGAGAGTGCCACCTGGGTTTTCCTGAGGTTTAGTTGTTGAAGGAGGACCCCAAAGAGGGTTTGAGGAAGGAGCACGGTGAGCCCCCCTGCCCACAGCTCCAATTCCTTGGAAACTGTCATGTCTCTCTGAGCCTTTTTTACACGTAATGACCCATGAAGCCTTCTGAGGAGGCCCTTGGTACAACCCCACCTTCCCTGCATGGGCCATCAAGATCGTCCTGAGCCTGGGCTGGAAGAGGAGATGCCAGCTGCAGGGGACACTGGGGAGCCTCACAGGATGAGCTCGAGCCCTGCCGTCCCCCATCAGAGCTCACCGGCAGAGTGTTCTTTAAGTGTAAAGAACTGACTCAACCAGAAGCAGCTGTGAAGTGGTCCTGGGCTGGTTCTTCCACAGATTGGCTGGGAGCTCAGCCACCTCTGTGAGGACCACGCCCTGCCACCGAAGTGCTGAGGCCCACCGCAGGCTCCAGGCAGTGGGATCCCGAGCAGGGTCACCTTGAGAGCTGCCCGACTCCAGGGCAACTCCCACCTGGGGGTAAGGGAATTCTCTCCTGATTTCAGTTCCTGCTGGGGAGGTGGACACACTGTGAGGGGTACTCAAAGTGCCGTCCCGGCGCAGCTGCCCAGGTCACTGCTGCTTCTAACCATGTTCCAGGCCCAGAGCCACACAGTGGCTCCACCTCTGGTCTTGGATGTCTCCTGTGTCAGCAGCACACTTACAGGGGGGTCTTCGGCTGCTAGATCCTGCAGAAAGCCCCCTCTCAGTGCCACCATGGAGCAGGGGCTGTTGGCTGCAGGACCGTGTGGAGGTTCCTAGCACCCAATGTCTGTTCTGTCTTCCAGGTGAGACTGTGGAGATGAGAAGGTGGTGGACACTCATGATGGAATGGAAATCGTCCTACTGTGCAGCCACACCCCACCCCACCCAGCCCTACCCCGACGTGCCTGCCCATGCCAGCACTTCCTCCTAAGTTCTTACATCACACTCAAACTGGTGACACCACAGGAAAGAAAGACCCAAGAAGTTGGAATGGCTGTTTCCATGGACACAATCTCCATAGTGACAATGTGGGGGGAGGGGGGAGGGGTGGGATGATGGGAAAGGGTGGGGGGAATTAAAAGGGAGGGATAAAAATATATATATATAAATCTATTTTTAGTCTGGAAAGACTTTGTTTAAATGAAAGGTGCGCTATCCCTTTTGATTCTATTTTAAAATTATCTAGTTAAAGAACTCCAAATTGTTCCAATAACAGTGAAATTTAAATGTGAAATTGAACTGAAAAAATTCTCATCTCATAAAGGATGGGGGTGTGGCTTTGATCTTTAGCTTGTCTCATACCAATTCGGAGAATACTAGACCCAGAATTGAAAGAGCAGACCAACCACACCAAAACCATCCTTCTGTCATTAATTTGTCTCAAAGTGGGAAGGTTTGGGGCGGGGGAAGTGGGAACAGTCCATGTTTTCAAGAGTGGGAGAATGATGTTTAAACATAAAAATAAATGTTTTCATTTCCAGAAACACTATTTATTTATTTTTAAATTTTTTATCTTTTTTGGGGGGGGTGAAATTGGCAGATGCCCCAAGGTCACAGCTGTGTCCTGGGTCACTGTGGCCAGTGAGAACCCCGAATGCCCCACCTAAGTGCACAAGGCAGGCAGGGTCAAGGGATGGCCCCCATCTGGGCACATTCCAGGCAGCTGTGCAGGAAATCTAAGGCTAGGAACTGATGTGGAGGAGGGGCTGTGTTGGGTGTGATCAGTGTGGGGTAAGCTGACCAGAGACACCCAGTAAACCCTTTTTTCTTTTGCTTTCATTTTTATAAAGGAAAAGGGGGCCTGTCAGTTGAGCAGCCCCATGCTACATGATTCTTTATGTTGTATTGTTTTGTTTTGTAAATTGTATAATTTTTAAATATCTGAGTTTTAAAAAAAGAAGAAAAAAGTACAAAAAAATATCTTGTTAAGGCCTTAAGAAGGGGTTAGTGCATCTTTCAGGGGTCACTCTGCCGTGGGGATAAAATAGCTGTTTCACAGAACAGTTTTATTTAAAAAAAAAAAAAATCAAAAAAAATAAACTTCATTTTAACCTTGTTTCCCTTTTTGTTTAATATGAAGCAAATGCGTCTCTTCCTCCTCCCGTTCCAGCCCCCAAAGGTGGCTTCGGTGCTGGTGCGGAAGAGGCCGCCATCTGACTGGTCCCCCATCCCTGGCCTCACGCAGCCCAGCGGCCCCTGCAGGGGAGCCTGGAAGGGGACCAAAGCCAAAGGCTCTTGTCTGCCCCTCCGCCTGGCGGGGGCTCCACGGTGTTGGTCAGGATGGTCACATTTACTTAAGTTGATATGAGGACGTATTTCCAATCAGCATTAATTTTAAAGGTTATAAAAAAATAATGCAATGTTAATGGACTTTTTTAGAGAACAGAAATACTGGAAGGAACGTTGTGAAGTAGAAATAAGCAATTATAAATGAGTTCTTGTGTGCTCATCAATTTGGGGCTTCAGAAATGGCAGATTAATTTTGTTTTAATGGCTACATCGAGCAGGGAGGTCCATTTCTCATTTTGCTGCAAGGATGGAGGTGTGGGTGGGTGTGCTGTGTGGGCCATGAGGCCTGCATAGAAATGACTGCTTTCCGAGCTGCTTGGCTTCCCGTCTGGTCTTGGCTTGGTATTAACACACTTCAGATGAAATTGATAGATTTCAGGTGTCAAGGGCTAAACCACAAAACTTGAAAAATATGTATCTTGAGGAAAATATTTTCCTGACAGCAAATGATTCTTTGTCATTTTGCCTTTTATCCTTCTGTCCCCTTTTGACTTGCTGCTGATACTTGAGCCAGGCACTTGTCATTGTTCTAGGTCTTTCCTCAAACTGACTTCTGGACTGACCTTTAATTGGGATAGCTGTTTTCCACACGTCCCTCCCGGCTCCAGCTTTCTGCTCCTGCAGAAGCCTCAACTGCTCATGACACATCGGCTCCCACCACGTTAGACTGCTATGTGTTTTTTAAATAAACTTTATTTTTTAGAGAAGTTTTAGGTTCATAGTTTTAGGTTCATAGCTTCTGTTGAGCAGAAGGTGGAGAAAGTTCCAATTTACTCCTTATCCTCGCACAGCTTTCCCTGCCAGCGTGGGACATTTGTTAGAATTCGTGAGCCCACATTCTCACATCATCACAGGGGTCCATAGTCTACACTGGGGCTCACTCTTGCTGGTGCACATTCTGTGAGTTTGGACAAATGTATATGGACATATATCCACCAGTATAGGATCCTACAGAGAAGTTTCACTGCCCTAAAAATCCTCTATGCTCCGCCTATTCCCTCCCCCCCAGCCTGTGGCAACCACTGATCTTTATTTCTGTCTCCATAGTTTTGCCTTTTCTAGAAGGTGATACAGGTGGAATCATACAGTATGTAGCCTTTCACATTGCCTTCTTTCACTTGGTAATAGGAATTTAAGTTTCATCCACGTCTTTTCAAGGCTTGATGTCTCATTTCTTTGGGTCCTGAAGAATAGTCCATTGTCGGGATGTGCCACAGTTTATCCATTCACCTCCTGAAAGGCGTCTTGGTTCCTTCCGAGGTCTGGCGATTATGAGCACAGCTGCTGTCAACATCCGTGTGCAGGTTTTCTGTGGACAGAAGTTCTGAGCTCCTTTGAGTCAATATCAAGGAGCCTGGTTGCTGGGTCACGTGGTGACAGCGTCGAGTTTGTAAGGAACCGCCAAACCGACTCCAGAGGGCTGTGCGGGTTTGCGTTCTCACAGGCGATGTATGACACTTCCTGTTGCTCCAGGTTCTACTCAGCACTCGGTGTTCTCAGTGTGCTGGATTTTGACCATTCTCATAGGTCAAATGTAGGGCAGATGTATATTGTTTTAGTAATTCTTATATCATGGTATAAAAAAACACAACAAAATTTGCCATCTCAACCACTGAGTTACTCGTTCAGTAGTAAGTAGATTCACATTGTTGCGCGGCGGGTCCCCAGAACCTTTTCATCCCACCAAGCCCAAGGCCAGGACCCATTAAGCAGCTCCGGGAGGCGGGCCCCGCCCAGCGCCCTCCCGCCCCCGTTCCCTCCTCGGCCGCGGCCCCCGGCGCCCCCCGGCGCCCGCCTGCGGAACTGCAGCCGCGGCCGCCCCGCCGGCGCCTCCGCCTGGATCCTGCGCTGCGAGGGCGGGTCCGCACGGAGCCAGGCGGGGCGGCCAGGCCCGGGGCCCGCAAGCTGCGCTCGGCTTCCGCTCTTCCTCTCGGTCCCCAAGGAGGAGCGGGAATGGGGGTTTCCCCAGGGCGCTGCATGCCGCGGGGGGAGGGGCAAGGCCAACAAAATGCCCCCGACTTTCCCAGCGCCCGGGCTGGGGCTGCAGCTCCCTACCTGATTCTAGGGCGCTCGCCCGGGGTTTGCCCCGCATCGCGTTGGGGACCCCGGGCCCCGGTTCCGTGCTTGGGGGACCAGGGCCAGGCGTTTCGTAGTTCCCCAGCGTGCTGACGTCTCCCCTGGATCCTAAGTCCCAGGTCGCAGTGTCCAGAGGACCCTTCCGGGCACGGGTGAACATCTGTGACACGGGTGGACCCTGGGGGCGCTCACCCCTCCACCCCAGCAGCTTCACCAGAGCACAAGCCCCGGGAGGGCGGGCTGAGTGTGTTTCTGAGACGATAAATCTCAGTAACTTACACGGACAGCAGTAGCTCAGAGCCTGCGTTTTGAAATGGCCCCAACTACTCCTCTGTGACTTTGACCTCCTGACGTGACCCCTGAGACTCAGTCTCCTCCATGCCTTTGGGACCATAAAGCCACCTGCCTTCCAGGGCTGTGGGGGGACACGCAGAGTGAGCAGCAGTGCCTGGCACACAAGTGCCTCGTCAGTGGGAGCTGCAATTGCACAATGATTGCAAAGGCTGTTGGCCTCACAGTTGTTCCATGTGCTCATTGTACTCATGAGGTTTCCTCAAGGCTGCTCCGTCCTGGACAACAGGCCCCTAGTGTCAGGGGCCTCTGCCTGAATTACAGGCATGTCGGTCCCTGCCCTTCGTGTCCACATTAGGGTAACTGCTTGGGAGGGCATGACACATCCAAAACAAAGGGTGGATAAAGACACTTTATCCAGAGCCACTGTGTGACCAACACTCACACCATCCTGCCTCCCCCCCTCCCCCGCTAACACCACCTGATTCTCTGACAGTCCTGGGTAGAGAGGTGCTGCCCACAGGACAGGACACTCAACTGGCCAATGACCCAGAGGCCAATGAGAGGCCACAGGCTGAATCCAGGAAGGCCCCACAGTGCCCATGGGTCTTCCTTCTGGTCTGTTTTGATGTCAAAAATGATCTCCCTGCCTCCTGGAGGCCCAGGGACCCCAGCTCCCCACAGTCCAGTCCTCAGCCAGACTTGCAAAGCTGCCTCCTCCCGCTGCCCCTCACCCTCATGCACAGGACTCTGTTGTGGCCCTTTGGTCCCACTGCCACATCACCTTCAACTGTGGTGCCAAGTCAGTCAAAGTCCTCCAGGTTGGTTTCCCAGAGAGTCCTGCTGCAGCCTGGGGCAGTGTCCCCACGACCCTCAGAGCAGTCCCCGCACTGCTGGCCTGGCCTGTCAGCTCTCTGCCTTCCTGCTCCTCCTCTTGGCATGAGCACCTTGGAGCAGGGGCACACCATTGTGTCCCCGCCAGGCTGCGAGTGCCCCGCCAGCACCCAGCACGTGGGACGTCCAGCGGGGCTGGAACACAGTCCAAGGCCTGAGCAAGGAAAGATGCAGGGAAAGCCAGGTAAACTGAGGAAGGCCCACTGGGCCCCAGCCCGCTACACCCTCTGGCCCTGGGCCCTGCAGGAGAGTGGGGCTGCGGGCATTCAGAAGGGGAGGAGCAGCTTTCACAGGCCAAGCAGGAACTGCAAACCTTGAAAGCCAAGAGCAAGAGGCCCCGGCCCCAGGGAGCCATCTCTGGGTGGGGGATATCCAGAGGCTCCCTGGGAAGAAGCTGGTCCTCTTACTCTTGGGGAGGGAGGGAGGGAGAGAACTAGGGGGAGATGGGCGTGAGGAGTGCCCCCTGCAGGCCCTGCTCCATCTGGGGGAGAGAATTCTCCAGCTGGTTCCAGGATGAGAGCTGGCCTCACATACCCCTGGGATGGGGGAGGGGGCCTGACCCCTCCCAGGAAATGCCCCTTCCCCACCCTCTGGGCTCCTGCCCCTTCCCACCTGAGTGGGTTTTGGCTTCAGAGTTCCCATCAGCATCACCGATTTAAAAACTCAGCCTCAAATCCCACCCCTCTTCCTGTTGACGAAGGAGGGTACAGAGGCCGGTGGGCAGCAGCCCTGCCCTGGCATCATGTGGTCACACCCCTGCTTGGAGGGGGCGAGAGGATGAGCAAGAGGGAGGGCCTGGGAGCCACAGTTCCAGCCACGAGGTGGCACACAAAGGGGCAGGGTGGTGCTGAGGTTCGCATCTTTCCTTGAGGGACCACAGAGCCAGAGTGGGAAGGGATGGGGCTGGAAGAGAAAGGACGTGGCCCAGGGAGAGGGAGGTGGCTGGCTAAGGGGAGGCCCTGGAATCCATTCCGTGTGGTCCTCAGCAGGCCTGTGAGGGTGTAAAGAAATTACATCCGCCCCACTTGTTTCTATCCCCTTGTCTTTCCAGAAAGAGTTTCAGCAGCTGATGTTCAAGGACAAACTATACTGAGGAAGAAGCAGGCCCACTCCTCTGGGGACAGGGTGACATCCTATGCTAGGACACCCTGGTACGCTGAGCTTCCTGGCAGCTCAGTCAAGAAGAGCAAGGGATCACCCCGCATTTCTCTGAGTCAGGAAAGTGGACACAGGCTCGAGGAGATTCATCACCTGGGTGGCCTCAGGAGCTGGGAGGTCAAGGACCAGTTTGTAACCCACTTAGGAAGGGTCTCCTGTCCTCTGAACTGGCTGCTTGGGTGAGTAGGGAGCTCAGAAAACAATGCTGCTGCCTCCCCACCCCCAGAGTCAGTCATGCGATGCTCACAACCACGGGGAAACAGCGGAAGCTGAGCCAGCCCGCAGCCAGCTGAGGGTCCTCAGCATCCCTGCCAGCTGCCTTGAGGTGGGGAGGGTGGGGGTCGGGTACAGACCACCAATGAGAACAGGTGCTCTGTGTGTGTGTGTATGTGTGTGTGTCAGTGGTGCAAGTATCAATGTGTGTGTGTCTGTGATTTTGTGGGTGTGTAACTGTGTGTGCAGGTCCTATGTGTCAGTATGTGTGTGGGTAACATCTGATTGTGTGAGTGGTTTGTGAGTGTGTGATCAGTGTCTGTGTGTATATTGAGTGTCACAGTGTGAAGTGAGGGACACGGAGAACTTCATCCCTCGCCCCCACCCAAGGTCCCTCTGATCACGTGACCTCCCTACAGCAAATGCCAGTGACAAACCTCAGAGTTGAAGGTCACTCAGGAGGAGGCAGGTGAGATACGGGGAGGTGAGGATGTGTTCCGGGGATGAGGCTGTGACCCCATTAGGGAGGGTGAGGCTAAGGTGAAAGGTGAGTGACAGGATCAAGTCCAAAGACCCCGGGTTCTTCCTGGGAGCCTGCACAATGCTGGCAGTCAGGCTGGGGTTGGGGACTTCGCTTTTTTCCTTCCCCAGCCAGGGTAAGCACCTGCAGAGGGCAGCAGGGTCAGGAGTTCTGTGCCACCCCTGCACTGACCTTCGCCGTCCCCTCCCTGCACCCTCTGGCAGCACAGTCATGCCAACAGGCAGGCTCAGAGCAGAGGACAAAGGCCAGTCTCAGCTCCTTTATAAAGGGGCCCAGGCTCATCAAACCCTCAGAGTGGGTGAGAGAGCCCTGCCAGGTCTGGTCCTGGTGCCTGGTGTGGTGAGGGGCCCCAGTGTGTCCAGAGGAGCGCAGTGTACACTGAGGCAGCCATGGGACTGCTGACCGGGGAGACACTGGGGCCGCTGGCCGTGGCCGTGGCCATCTTCCTGCTCCTGGTGGACCTGATGCACCGGCGCCAACGCTGGGCCCCACGCTACCCCCCAGGCCCCATGCCCCTGCCTGGGCTGGGCAACCTGCTGCATGTGGACTTCCAGGACACGGTTTGCAGCTTTACTCGGGTGAGGAACGTGGGGGAGGGAGCAGCAGAGGTCCTGGGGACCCCACATAGCAGCAGACGGTGGTGGTGAAGCCACAGGCTGCACAAGGAGCTGGTGGAACGGAGGAGGCAGGCATGAGAGGCCTCCTGGGGGAGGGCAGCTGGGTAGGGCCTGGGGGACAGTTTGAATTTTCCCATCAAAGGTCAGAGAGGGCAAAGGCCTGGAGGGGGTGGGCCTTGGCAGAGGGTTTGGGATGCAGTGGGACCGAGCATAAGTTCTGTGAGCCTGAGTCCCTTCTGAGGACATCAGGAGGAAAGGTCCTGAGATTGGAGAGAGGAGGCTGGGCATGAGCCCCACTGAAATCAGGAAATCGAGGTTGACAGGGGACAGTGACCAGGTTCAAATCTGTTGCTGCTGTGAGATCTTGGGCCTCCCTGCTCACCTCCCTGAACCTGTTTCGTCACTTATAAAATGGGATGCTAACTTGGCCTACTGACAATGTTGGTGACCTTTGCAAAGTCATACCTGGGTGGTCTTATCCAACGTGAGGTCCTCAACCATACAAGTTGTGACCCCCAGCGTCACCAAGCCGGATAAAGTCCTTCCATTCCCCCACTCCCCAATTTCCCCGTCTGGCGGCCCAGGGGTCCCAGAAGGCTAGGACCAGGAGACTGTGGCCAGGAGCCTGGCGAGGGTGGGGCTTGTCGAACGCCTTAACCCCTGGCCTGCAGCTGCGGCGCCGCTTCGGGGACGTGTTCAGCCTGCAGCTGGCCTGGACGCCCGTGGTCGTGCTCAACGGGCTGGCGGCCATGCGCGAGGCGCTGGTGCACCGCGGCGAGGACACCTCCGACCGCCCACCTGCGGTCGTCTATGAGCACCTGGGCTACGGGCCACACGCAGAAGGCAAGCGGACAAGGGGGAACCGCGGCCCAGAGGGGACTGTGCCCACAGTGACCCGAGACTGGGCTGGGCCAAGCTGCGTCGGGGGGCTGTAGGGGGAGATCTGCGGTGCAGGGAAGAGTCAGCGTACTGGAAGGGGCGGCAGGTGGAGGAAGGAGCCTGCGACCAGGGTGCGGAGGTGGACGTGCGCGGGCGGAGGGCGGGGCCTCACAGGGAGTGGGCGGAACACAGGCCACCCGGAGCTGGTAGGGAACGTCTGAGAGGCGGGAATGAGGAGGAGGAGTCAGTGTGGGCGGGGCTGGGGGCGGGCCGAGAGCTTCCTTGAACTGGAAGGCGGTCACAGAGGCTAGAGGTAAGGTTGGGGACAAGACTTGCCCTGAGTGGGGAGGGCTGGCGAACGATGTCTCCGGGCCGAGGGTTGGACGTGTCTCCAGGCAGAAGATGGTGTAAAGTGGGCAGGACTTGGTGGTGTTACTCGTGCAGAAAGAGGTTCGTGTAGGTGAAGCAGGGGGCGTGGCAGTGGGAGCAGGGTAAGGGGCGGGGCCTGTAAGGAGCAGGCGAGGATGTGAGGGAGTAGAGGGTGACCTGTGCTCGCCAGAAGCGGGTGTCAGAGGGGGCGGGGATGGTGGGACTGAGAACCAGCTTAGAGGGAGCAGAACAGGGAGCGGAGCTCCGCGGGCCGGGGGCGGGGCCGGGGCGGGACGCCGGCGTAGACGGAAGGGCGTGCGAGCCTGTGAGCAAGGTGTGCGCGCAGAGGCGGGGCGAGGTCACAGCCGAGCCACGCCCGTGCCCGCCCCGCCCCCAGGGGTGATCCTGGCACGGTATGGGCGCGCTTGGCGGGAGCAGCGGCGCTTCTCCCTGTCCACCCTGCGCAACTTCGGCTTGGGCAAGAAGTCCCTGGAGCAGTGGGTGACCGAGGAGGCCTCGTGCCTCTGTGCCGCCTTCGATGACCAGGCCGGTGAGTGCTGGGCTGAGGGACAGGAGACAGGGGTGGAGGCTGGGGAGGAGGAGCTGGAGGCGACCCCCTGGCCTACACCGTCCCCTCCCAGGACGGCCCTTCAGCCCTGACGCCCTCCTGAATAAAGCGGTGACCAACGTGATCGCCTCCCTGACCTTCGGGCGCCGCTTCGAGTACAACGACCCGCTCTTCCTCAAGCTCCTGGACCTAACAGAGGACTTGGTGAAAGAGGAGTCAGGCTTCCTCCGCCAGGTGCGGGGTGGAGGACGACAAGGAGGGCGCCTCCGCCCTGCACTGGGCCTCCGCGGAGGAGGATTTGTACAGAGGGGTGTTGGGTCAGCGGCCCCCAGGAGGGAGCTAAGGAATCTCTACTTCCTTCATTGGAAGCCTCTGGAACCCGTGAGATGGAGATGTTAGATTTATCCTGCTGTGGCCCAGGCCAGGCGAGAGGGTTGAGGTCTGAAGTTAGGGAGGAACCAGGTCAATGGTGGGGACACCCTGGAGTCGACTGGGACCTGACAGGTGGAGGTGAACACCTGAGCACTGGGAACTGAGGGCCTCACATCTGTGGCCTGCACAGGTGCTGGAAGCGATCCCCGTGCTCCTGCACATCCCGGGGGTGGCTGCCAAGGTCTTTCCTGGGCAGAAGGCCTTCATGGCCCAGCTGGATGAGCTGCTTGCTGAGCACAGGATGACCCGGGACCCGACCCAGCCTCCCCGAGACCTGACTGACGCCTTTCTGGACGAGGTCGCGAAGGTGAGCCCCCAGGGCCAGGGCCAGTGACAGAGGCTGTGGGTTGAGGGCCTTTGATGGAAGCCAAGGCAGGGGGAGCTCTATGTATTCCCCAGTGATCAGGCCCCCGGGCTGATGGGTGCAGAGTGGGAGGCCATTGCGGGGCTTTCTCCTCCTTCCCCTGAGCCCACCCTCTCTGCATGGCACAGGCCAAGGGGAGCCCTGAGAGCAGCTTCAGTGATGACAACCTGCGCCTGGTGGTGGCTGATCTTTTCACTGCCGGGATGGTGACCACCTCGACCACCCTGGCCTGGGCCCTCCTGCTCATGATCCTGCACCCGGATGTGCAGCGTGAGCCCAGCCTGGCAGCCTGGTGGGATGGGCTGGGGTGGAGGGGGACAGGCTGGGGGCCCTGAGCTTGGTTTGGCCACCAGGAGCTCTGAGCAGAGGCTGGGCCCTGCTCACAGGTCAGAGTGACCTTCTCCTCCACATGGGCACAGCCCCTGAACAGGAGTCAGGAGGTTGGGGTGCAACTCCCTATGTTCTGACCACTGTGGGGACGCTTGTCTGTCCAGGCCGTGTCCAACAGGAGGTCGATGAGGTGATAGGGCAGGCGCGGCGACCAGAGATGGGGGACCAGGCCTGCATGCCCTTCACCATGGCCGTGGTCCACGAGGTGCAGCGCTTTGGGGACATCATCCCACTGGGCTTGACCCACATGACATCCCGTGACATTGAAGTGCAGGGCTTCCTCATCCCCAAGGTAGGCCTGCGGCCCTCCTCAGCCCAGCCCAGCTCCACGTGCACCCTGGGAGCCCCAGCATTACCATTGCCAGGTGGGGCCAGGATGGAACCCAAGCCACCTAATCCTCATTTCCACAGGCACTGACTGTAGAGGGTGTGACCTGCCCACAGCCAGAGGGAGTGTCAAAGTGGGCGGGTGTAGGGGTGGGTGTGGGGATGAAGCAGAGGCAGGGCTGGCCCCCCTCCACGCAGAGACCCAGCAGGGAGCCAGAGGGGGAGACAAAATAAAATATGCCCCATCGTGTTGCAGTAGCCCATGCATGGAGTGACAGTTGGTAGGCATGGAACCCAAGAGGCAGGTCACTTGGCCCTGCGATGGGAGCAGGGAGGGTGCCAGGAAGCTCTTTGGGCTGAGACTGACTTGAAAGAGTCCCTGTGTGTGCCAGGCAGAGAGTATGGCCCATGCATGTTTGGTGGCAGGGGTCCAGGGTTCCCCCAGCCTGGATCTCACTCATGCCCGGCGTCTCCTGCCAGGGGACCACGCTCATCACCAACCTGTCGTCGGTGCTCAAGGATGAGACCGTCTGGAAGAAGCCCTTCCGCTTCCACCCCGAGCACTTCCTGGACGCCCAGGGCCGCTTCGTCAAGCAGGAGGCCTTCATGCCCTTCTCAGCAGGTGCCTGTGGGGAGCCCGGCTCGCTGCCCCTCCTGGGGAGTCTTGGAGGCGTGGAGCCCAGGCCCCCAGGCTCGCTGACCCCCATCCCCACCCACAGGCCGCCGCTCGTGCCTCGGGGAGCCCCTGGCCCGCATGGAGCTCTTCCTCTTCTTCACCTGCCTCCTGCAGCGCTTCAGCTTCTCGGTGCCCGCTGGGCAGCCCCGCCCCAGCGATCATGGTGTCTTTGGCGTCCTGGTGACCCCGTCCCCCTACCAGCTCTGCGCTGAGCCCCGCTAGAGGGGGGACACCAAGCCTCGAACCCACTCCTCGTGGAGGCGCTGATGACCAATAAACCAGTCTGATGGCTCCAACCTGGCTTGAGTCCCACCTGAGCCCCCTGAGCAGAGATGCAGCCTCAGCAGCCTCCCCAGGGCAGCCACTTCCCCTGCCTGATCCAGCTCACCAGGCATTTGACCCCATTTGAGAGACAGGTTTACTTAGGCTCAGAAGCTGACAGCTTACCCCCTAGTCACCCATGCAGACCCAACAGTGGCTGCCCTGGTTGGTGACTAAGTCCATGTAGGCCTTGACTCCTGAGTGTCAGGGGGCGGGAGGAGTGTGAATGGGCTTCTGATGGAATCAGCCCAATCCTGGGCTGGGGGAGCGCCCTCAGGTTCAGGGATTCACTGCGAGGACTCAGGGGAGTCAGAACAGCTGTTATACTCACGGTTATGGTTTTCCAGAGAAAGGATCCAGGCAGAATCAGCAGTGGTCAAAGGCACATGGGTGGAGTTCAGGAAGAGCAGGCACAAGCTTCCAGCTGTCGCTCTGAGGACTCGTACAGACAGTGCTCAGTTCTGCCAGCAGTGATGTGTGACACAAGCAGAGAGTTTGCTCACCAGGGAGGCTGCCCCGAGTCTGGGTGTCCAGGGATTTTGTTGGAAGTCAGTCACTTAGACTCGGAGAGCCCCATGGCTCACCCTGACGGCAGTTACTCAGTCCCCAGCCTCTCTCAAGGTCAAACAGTGTGGCCCCTGGTCCCGCCATCAATCACATTGTTGACATCAACTGTGTGGTGTGACCCAGGGCCACAGCTACAGAGACACTTGTCAGGCAGGTCATCCTAAGGGTGAAGGGGGTGTTTCCCAGGAGCTTTCAGGGGCCAGGCAGTTTTCTGGACTGTGTACGGACTGAAATCCCAAACCTGCTGAGTAAACTTTTCACCTCACAGGGCATACCCCTGGTTTTTGTCTCCTACAGCTAAATGGTCATATTTGTGAATATCTTCAATGTGTGTGTGTGGGAGTGAAAATACACACAACATAACACTTGCCATCTCATCATTTTCGAGTGTGCAGTTCAATGCTGTTAAATTCTCGTATCGTGGAACCATCACACCATCCATCCCAGAACTCTTTCATCCTGCAAAACTGAAACTCTGTCCCCGTGAGACAACAACTCCCCATGGCCCCTCCCTGTGGCCCCTGGCAACCACCATTCTACTTTCTGTCTCTGTGAATTTGACTCCCCTAGGGACCTCACATAGGTGGCATCATATGGTATTTGTCTTCTTGTGACTGACTTATTTCGCTAAGCATGGTGTCCTCAAGGTTCATCCATGTTGTGACATGTGTCTGGATGTCCTTCCTTTTTTAGGCTGAATAAGACTGCGTTTTATGTAGAGACCACGTTTTGCTTTTCCTTCATCCATTCACGGACACTTGGGTTCCTTCTCTCTTTGAGCTACTGTGAATAACGCTGCTGTGAACATGGGGTACAAATACCTCTTTGAGACTGTGCTCTCGATTTGTGGATATGGAACCACGGGATTGTTGTCCCACAGCAGCTGCGCCATTTTACACTCCCACCGGCAGTGCGCATGGTTCCGATTCTCCATGTCCTCGCCACCACTTGCCATTTTCTGTTTTGATGCTGGTAGCCATTCTCATGAGTGTGAGGTGGAATTTCACGGTGATTTGGATCTGCGTTTCCCTAGTGATGGGTGACTTTGATATGCAAAAGTCCATTTGTATATCTTCTTTTAGAAATGTCTGTTCAAGTCGTCTTCCCATTCTAAAACTGAGTTGTGTGTCTTGTTATTGTTGTTGTTTTTGAGTTTTAGGTGTTCTCTATATATTCTAGATATTAATCCTCCTCCAATAAGTCATGCGCTGCATCACGACCTTTTGGTGAACAACGGAGCGCACATACAAGGGTGGTCTCCTAAGGTTAGTACCATACAGCCTAGGGGTGCAGCAGGCTATCTCATCTAGGTTTGTGTAAGTGCACTCTGTGATGTTCCCACAACAATGATACTGCCTAACAGCACATTTCTCAGAACGTGTCCCGATGGTTAAGTGAAACGTGACTGTATATGATTTGCAAATATTTTCTCCCCTTGTCTACTTCGTCTTTTGACTCTGTTGATAGCATCTTTTGATATGCAACATTTTCTAATTTGCATGAAGTCCAATTTGTCTACTTTTTCTTTTGTTGCTATGCATTTGGTGTCACATCCAGAAATCACTGCCAAACCCAATGTTGAGAACTTTTTGTCCTATGTTTTCTTCTAAGCATTTTCTAGTTTTAATTCTTACCATTTAAGTCTTTGATCTATTTTGAATTAATTTTTGTATATGGTGCTAGGTGAGGGTCCAGCTTCACTCTTTCGCATTAAGATACCCAGATTTCGGGGCCAGCCTGGTGGCCCAGCGGTTAAGTGCACACGTTCTGCTTTGGTGGCCCTGGTTCGCTGGTTCAGATCCCAGGTGTGGACATGGCACTGCTTGAGAAGCCATGCTGTGGTAGGCATCCCACGTATAAAGTAGAGGCAGATGGGCATGGATGTTAGCTCAGGGCCAGACTTCCTCAGCAAAAAGAGGAGGATTGGCGGCAGTTAGCTCAGGCCTAATCTTCCTCAAAAAGAAAAAAAAACAAAAAAGATATCCAGATTTCCCAGAACCATTGGTTGAAAATGTTTCCAAACCTGAAGTGAGTTTGCTCACCCGTTGGGCAGCAAGCCAATCTCTGACACCGGGGGTGGTGGAAGAAAGCAGGAATTTTATTTTTGCACAGCGCTCAGCAAGGAGAGAGGGCAGCTAACGCTGAAATCCCAAACTCCCCAAAAAGCTAAAAGGAAGGGTTTTTATTTGGGGTTTTAGGTAGGGGAGGGGGAGCATATGGCCTTGCTGGTCGGAGCTTTCCCACCAGCCTGTATCTCTTTGCGGGAGGAGATAGTCCAGGTGCTTGTCCTTGACAGTGTCTGTCTCCATGGAGGATAGTGGATTCTGGAGCCAGGAAGCCAGAGAGTAAGCAGGGAATGAGTGTTTTGGTTTTAACCCCATATATGCTGGGTTTAATGTGGGGAAACTGATATCAGGGTCGGTATCAAAAAGACTGTCCTTTCTCCATTGAATGGTCTTGGCTCCCGTGTCAAAATCATTGGACTGCCTGTTTCTGGGCCTTCTGTTCTCTTCCGTTGGTCTATATCTCTGTCTTTATGCTGCTACCACAGTGTGTTGATTACTATAGCTTTGTAGTAAGTTTTGAAATAAAAACGTGTGAGTTTTGGGGCCGGCCTGGTGGCGCAGTGGTTAAGTCTGCACGTTCTGCTTCGGCGGCCCGGGGTTCGCCAGTTGGGATCCTGGGTGCAGACATGGCACTGCTTGACAAGCCATGCTGTGGTAGGCATCCCACATGTAAAGTAGAGGAAGATGGGCGTGGATGTTAGCTCAGGGCTAGTCTTCCTCAGCAAAAAGAGGAGGATTGGCAGCAGATGTTAGCTCAGGGCTAATCTTCCTCAAAAAAACAAAAAAAAAAGTATGAGTTTTATTCTTCTTTTTTCAACATTGTTTTGGCTATTTGGGGTCTGTTGAGATTCCATATGAATTTTAGGTTGATTTTTGTATTTCTGCATAAAGTCATTGAGATTTTGATAGGAAATGCATTAACTCTGGAGATCACATTGAGTGGTCTTGGCGTCTTTATAATATTAAATCTTCCAATCCATGAACATAGGATGCCTTACAGTTTCCTTGTGTCTTCTTTCCTTTCTTTCAGCAACGTTTTGTTGTTTTCATGGTACGTGTCTTTCACCTCTTTGGTTAGGTTAATTGCTAAGTATATTATTCTTTTTGATGCTATCGTCAATCCAAGTGTTGTCTTAATTTCATTTTTGGATTGTTCATTGTTAGTGTAGAGAAATACAGCTGATTTTTATGCATTGATTTTGTATCCTGATACTTTGCTGAATTTGTTTGTAAGTTCTAACAATTTTTTTTGGCATCTTTAGGTTTTTCTACATAGCAGATCATATCATCTGCAAACAGAGATAATGTTCTTTCTTTCCAAATTGGATGCCCTTTATTTCTTTTTCTTTCCTAGTTGCTCTGACTAGAACTTCCAAAACTATGATGAGTGGAAGTGGGAAAAGTGGGCATCCTTTCTTTGTTTCTGATGTTAAAGGAAAAGTTTTCAGTTTTTTCGCCATTGAGCATCATGGTGGTTGTGGCTTTTTCATATATGGCTTTGGTTGTGTTGAGGTAGTTTCCTTCTATTCCTAGTTTGTTGAGTGTTTTTAACGTGAAAGAGGCTTGAACTTTGTCAAATGCTTTTTCAGCATCAATTGAGATGGTCATGTAGTTTTTGTTCTTCATCTGTTAACGTGGTGTATAACATGGATCAGTTTTCATATGTGGAATCATTCTTGAATTCCATTCATAGACCCCACCTGGCCATAGCACTGTCCCACTTGTATAATCCTTTTAATATGCTGCTCAATTTGGTTTGCTGGTATTTTCTTGAGGATTTTTTGCATCAATGTTCGTAAGAGATACTGGTCTGTAGTTTTCTTTTCCTGTCGTGTCTTTGTCTGGCTTTGAAATCGGGGTGATGGGGGCCTCCTAGAATGCGTTAGGAAGTGTTCCCTCCTCTTCCATTTTGTGGAAATGTTTGAGTAGGATTAGTGTTAGTTCTTTAAATGTTTGGCAGAATTCAACAGAGAAGGCATAAGGTCTAGAGTATTGCTTTTTTCTTTATTAAATTTATTTAATTAATTAATTATTTGATTGAGGTCATATTGGTTTATAACATTGTGAAATTTCAGGTGTACATTATATTTATCAGTCTCTGTATGACTGGATCATGCTCACTGCCAATAGTCTAAGTTTTATCCATCACCATACATATACGCCCCTTTACCCCTTTTGCCCTCCTCCCAAGACCCCTCCCCTCTGGTAACCACTAATCTGTCCTCTTTGTCCGTGTGTTTGTTTATCTTCCACGTATGAGTGAAATCAGGCGGTGTTTGTCTTTTTCTGTCTGACTTATTTTGCTTAACGTAACACCTCTAGGGTATTTCTTTGTCAGGGTATTTTTGATTCTTTATTCCATCTCCTTATTATTTAAAGGTCTATTCAGATTTCCTATTTCTTTATGATTCATTCCTGGTAGGTTTTGTGTTTCTAGGAACGTGTCCATTTCATCAATAGGTTATTCAGTTTGTTGACATACAGTTGTTCACAGTACTCTCTTATAATGCTTTAGATTTCTGTAGCATCAGTAGTAATGTGCCCACTTTCCTTTCTGATGTTAGTAATTTGAGTCTTCTCTCTTTTTTTCTTAGTCCATCTAGGTAAATGTTTGTCAGATTTGTTGATCTTTTTGAGGAAATAACTTTAGGTTTCATTGGTTTTCTCTATTCTTTATCCAGCCTCCACTTCATTTCTCTCTGCTCCATAATATTTCCTGTGTTCTCCTAGCTTTGGGTCTAGTTCACTCTTCTTTTTCTAGTTCTTTAAGGTGTAGAGTTAGGTAATTGATTTGCTATCTGTATTCGTGTAGGCATTTAGACTTCTCTCTGAACATGACTTTTGCTGGATTCCATAAGTTTTGGTATATTGTGCTCATTTTCATTCATCTCAAGCTATTTTCTACTTTCTCTTATGATTTCTTCTTTGACCCGTTGGTTGTTTAAGAGTGTGCTGTTTAGGTTCCACATATATGTGAAATTTCCAGTTTTCCTTCTGGTACTAATTCCTAAGTTGTGGAGGACAAGTGTCCTGATCACTCTCAAGATGGTCCATCATGGCTAGCATGCACAAGCAGCATGTCAACTGCTTCATCTGGAAAGTTCCACATGGCATGTAAAGGAGGGGAAGAATAATCCCCTTTCTCCGGTTAAAGGAAAGTTTTCAGTAGTTTCCTGATTTTGCCCTACCCCCTCTTGGACTATCAG